AGCTAGGGCACCTAGGGCAGACCAATCAAGAATGTGTTCTAGCGATCTAATAAAGTTAATTTGCTACTTTGCTTCTGTCTCTGGAAGTCAAAAATTTCCTAGTGCAGATTTTTCTAGAGCAGATTTTTCTAAGGCAACTAGCTTTTTTCTATAATAATATGTTTTCGAATGATACTTATCTACACATCCCATGTATTGACGTGGTGGGTTTCTCACACTGCTTGCAAGGGTTTCGCTGACGCCTTTTCCAATGAATTTTGCATCCTTCTTGTCGATCACAAACCCGTCTGCACAGGTTTCCTTCATTAGAAAGATATTGGCAGATAAATTCGCCCCTCATTGGATATCTTAAATTTCTATAATTATTTTTTTTTTATTTAAACTTTTTTTCCAGGACAATATATCCCAAGTTTAGAATATAATATACCTTTCAAAAGTTATCTAAAAAAATGACCCAATCCGAGCTTTCAAAGTTCCCTGACGCGCCCCTCCTTTTTCGTCCAGAGGCTGAAAAAGATAAAACATTAGGTCAGGTAATCAGATATGGAAGTGAGAATTACTTGTCGGGCCTCCCAACTTGTGATGAACTAGTTGCGAGAAATGATGAGGGGTCGACTACAATTCTCAATGGTGAAATAGCAAATCATCGAGATATCCCATTCATGCCAGTCGATATAGAAGAAGCTAAAGAATATATTAATCAAATCTTCCATTATATTCTTCGCCTTTATGGATATCTCGTCAATAGCCAAAAAGCAGTTGTAACTATTACTAGTATTAAGATATTTTTCGATATTCATATCCCTGATAATACAAGTATCCCTAAATTCTGGTCCAAAATAAAGGGTATACTTACTACTAGGAAAGACAGCAAGAGGGGCATCCTAGACATGAGTCTAATCCAAAAGGAATGTATAAAAGCATATCCTCTCCGTGGTTATCATTCAGAAAAAAAGTTGTATCTTCGCATCACTACGCCTAATAAAGACCAAAGGTTTACTGCTCTTGATATCATCTCAAGCTACAATTCAAAGGTTGATCTCGAATGTAAAATAGAGACAGCTTCAGATGATACAGGCACATATTACCGTAAAGTTGCAAGAGAATATAGGATACCACTTTCCGGATGGGGTTAATAAGTGATTATAGATATAATTTTAATGCATCCTATTATGCGAAATCCCATCTTTGCCTATATGTATTTTATGTCTACATTGATAACTTTCGCCCCATAGACAATTTTGAATCACTTTACAAAATCTACCCATCTTCTCTCTTCACTCACAATCGAGCATTGGTTGTAACATGGGATATAGAAACATATAGTTCGCGAGGATTGGGTCAACTTCCAGAAGCAAAACATGAAACAGATGAAGTTTTTACAATCTGTATGACCCTACACTGGAAAGACGATCCGATTCCTCTAGAGAAAATATGTTTAGTCGATGTTGAAATAAAATCAGACCCGGACTGGATTACAATCATATATAGAAATCAGACCAATCTATTAAAGGCATTCGCTTTTGTTGGAAATCTTTTGCCCCAGACATCCAACTCGGTTTTAACGATTCAGGTTATGATTGGCCTTTCATTGTAGAAAAGGCTACCAAATTAAATGTCCTCAAGTGGATGGTTCAGCAAATGTCAGCAAACCCACATAAGAAAGTTGATGCTGAATCTATCCTCACCTGGAATTATTTTGGTGGAACAGGGAAGCCACTAACTAATAGTTTCTTCCAAAGGAACTAATGGGTAAAGAAAATAGACAAGGGTCATAAAAAAACAGAAAGTCGAGATTCTATCAATATCAAAATTAATCCCGATTTGGACTTCGAATCCTCTTTTCTTAAACTTTTCAGGTGTGTGCCGATCGATGTTTGTGTGAGTTTCTTACAACTTCACTCCCACTCTAAGAAAAGATCACTCAAATTTTTCTTAGAAAAATGTGGTCTCGGTGGCAAAGCTGATATGTCTATAAGCAAATTGTGGAAGTATTATTCGGAAGCCAAGGATGGGACTTCTGATTCTTCTATCAAAAATATGCATGAAATTATAAATTATTGTGTTATAAATGCTTTACGTTGTCAGAAGCTCATGGTTAAATGTAATGTCATAAATGATTATAGAGAAGTCACTTCGATAGCATATATAACTTTATTTGATTCACATTATTATACTATAGGAACGAAAGTAGGTAATCTCTTAGATGCTGAAGCATGGGCCCAGGATATTCTATTCAGTATGAAAACTTCTGACCAGAAAGCATCTGGTAAGTTTCTGGGAGCATATGTTTTCTACCTGAAAAAGGTCTTGAAAATAAACATCCTGTTACAGGTTTGGACTTTGCTTCCTTGTACCCTAGTATAATTATGACTTACAACCTCTCACCTGAGAAAATGGTCTCAACACTTTCAGAAGCAGATGAGTTAGAGAGGGAGAATAAAGTGCTTCACAGTATCGAGTTCAAGTACAATGGTAATCCTATACAAGCCTGGACTATACAGCATGAGAATAAGCCTGATCAGAAAGGTCTTTTCCCAAAAATATTAGAAAGTTTGCTCAGTATGCAAAATGAAATAAAAGCCCAGCTAATCACATTGGAAAGAAAAAGGAATATATGGGATTAGTTAAAAGTAGAATGGATTTCACCAGCAGATCTATCTCAATAGCGAGTGTAATCAAGGATGTTTTGTTCTCGACAAAGGATATGAAGAAGCGTGCCGAAATGGCTAAAATCTTAAATTCTTTTATTGATTTATCGTATGATAATTTTATGAAAGAATACAGTTCTGTCTGCTTTACCTATGATTCTTTAAATTTAAAGCAGAAAGCTATTAAATTGTATATGAATTCATTCTATGGTGTGACAGGTAGAAGTGGCTCTCCATTCTACAAACTCGAACTTGCTGGAGGTGTTACTTCGGCTGGGCAAGAAAATATCAAGCGTGTCACAGAATATGTCAAAGGAAAAGGCTTTGGGATAAAATACGGTGATACTGATTCCTTATATCTTACTTGCCCAGATTCTTCTTATGAGAAATGTGATCTGGCTTACAACAATGGGGAAGGCGCAATATCAAAACTAGAATACTGAACTGAGATGGTCAAAATTACTATGGGGGTAATGGAAAAATTGCGCAATGGAGTAAACAGCTTTCTTAGGCTTAAAACTAGATCAGATTTTCTCAAAATGGCTTACGAGGAAGTACTATTCCCAGTAATGTTCACCGAAAAGAAAAAATATTTTGGTACCCCCCATGAGGAAGTCCTGAACTTCGAGCCGAGTGAGCCTTTTATAAGAGGAATCGATACTGTAAAACAGGTAAATCCTAAGTTTTTAGAATCATAGGGGATCGGATTATGTGGAGAGCTATGGATATCAACAATGCCTACTCTCTCCACGAAATTGTTGAAGATATTCTCAGGGATGCTATAACCAACCCTAACTAATGGAGTTTCGAACAGTTTGTGGAGACTGAAGTATAGAAACCTAATATAGATAATAAAAGTGTCCAGCGTTTCATGGGATGAATGAAAGGGAAATATAAAAATAGAATTCCAGTGCCAGGTGAGCGTTTTAGTTTTGTAGTAACCCACCCTGAGATGGCTTTTGATCTACGTGGCCGAAAATTAAATTTGACCAAAGGCGAAAAGATGAAATTCGTTGATGTGGCGAAGGAACTAGATAAGGAGCTAGATTTATATTATTATTTCGAAAAAACTGTTATTGGTCTCTGTGCCCAATTTATCATGTATGAGAAGAGTTATGAGCCAACATTCTCAGACAAAATAATGCAAATCGAGGATCCGGATGAGAAGTATAAGCAGATTGATGATTACGCACAAAAAAAGGCCAAGTTGTGGCTCGAGAGATTCATAAAAGAAAATATAATAGTCAATGGTGTTACTTCCAAGCTGATAGAATCTCGTGGGAGAGTTTACTAATGTACTTACCGGAATGCGATCAAAAAAACACAAGAAATGTTATATCAACAGGTAGGTAGTGTATATGAAGTATTTCATGGCAATGGGCTTAGTTACGAGACTTTTATGATAAGCAATCCTGTCAGGGCATTATGGAAGGCATTTATAGAATGCGCTAGAAAACTTACAAAAGATAAGTTCTCAGTGAGTGACGAAACAAAGGGAAAAATATGCTTTGATTTTGCAAGATACCCTAGTAAGCTTGCGAAATGTATGGAAGGGTACAATATATTCTTCCACAAGTTGGTCTACCATATGCGTTATAAAGAGCATATGTCGATTCCAGAAGAAATTGGCCCAGTTTCATCTTGCGAAAAAAGAGATAATTGCCAATTTACCTCCCCTACCCCATATATCAGAAATTATAGAGCTTAATAACTTTAGATATTTATGGTATTTCCACCTTAAAACTGTGACGAAGGAAGAAGCACTTAAATAAGTGATTTATTGTTAAGTACTCTTAGCAGAGCGTGACAATTCCGACTAAGATGACTTACAATAATATTATTTATATATTTTTTCTCATGCAATAATACCGGCTAACTTCAATTTCTATATTAGATCTGGTCACGAGATGACCTCTTCCGGACACCGATCATACAGCCCAGCCTTGGATATGCCCGGAGATGTAAATCATTAGTCTGAATGTATCGGTCACTTTTTTTCCACGAATCTTATATTTTTTTTCAAATACAAACCATATAACTGCAATAAGAAATAAGATAAGTATGGAATATGCTATCATTGGTGTCATTAAGGAACTTGCAACGACAGGGATAGCTGGTATTAAGGGCATTACTTGGGGTGATGGCACCACTTCTGTGCCACCTACAGGAATTATTTGGAATGAAGGATTAAGAGTGGAAAGGGTCTCTTCAGGATCAAGTTGTAATGAATCGTTCATAGACGGGGTGAGGGATTAGAGAGATCTGCTATTTCATTATCTTTCTTTGAGATTATCTCTCGGAGATGAGAATTTTCCTTT